AACTTAAGATTCTAATTTGAGCATGAATAAAGGAATTTAAGCACTCAGATCGATCCCAATTCGCAGTTATTGTTCTCATCATACCTTAATTTGAGGAGGAGAACTGCGAATTGTGATAGATTTATGACTTAAATCTATTTATTTATGCTCAAATTGTGATCTTAATTTGAAAATAACAAAAATACCCTTAATAAATTTTATATTCCGACATGTTTTAAACGAAGGGGTGACCGGTGTGATGAATTTTGACACTAAAATAATAGTTGTGGATGAAAATTGGTACTAAAACAATAGTCGTGAATGAAAATTTATAAGAATTAAACATGTGGACCAAAACTGTATTTTACTAATACTCGCGGGACCAAAATTGGTATTTGCTCAAAAAAATTGAAGGTGACCAGTAACTTTAATGAACATCATTGGATACTCTTTGACTTGACTAATTGGCGGGTATTTTATCTTGTTGGAGTGTCTCCATATCAGCTCAGACAAGTGACTAAAATTTTAGCGACTATTAGTAAGAAATACACCCTTAATTTTTTTTATTTTTTTTTGAATGGGACTCGATTACAATGTTGTATCTGTTTATGTTCATATAACTTTCTCAACCTACTGAAGCACAAAGAATTAATGTCCCAACACTACGGTTCAAACCTAAGACCTCTTATTTAAGAAGTCATAACTATGTCGCTCGACCACAAGACCTTTGGCAAATACACCCTTAATTAAATCGCGTATTATTTGAAATGTTGGTCTAGCTAGGATTGGCCTTTCACAATGGATGGTGATGAAAATAATGGGTCCTTGGACTTGGGATCAATGTGTCTCATCAACAATCATGCATATATACCTGGTAATGTTCCAACCACAAATTGTAATATGTGGGCACAGGATATGTATATATAGTAGATGCAAAAACTAAGCACTACTAATGACAATGGAATTGATGTTTGATAATGCAATTAAGCACGTACTATATGTCAGAAATGACTCTTACTTTGTATTGATGTGATAAACTGGGCACAAGTGTCTAGCAAATTATACCATGCATTAGGATTTACCTTGCATTGTTGATACTGGTCCAAAAATAATTTTCAGATTATGTACCTGTAGTTAACCGTTTTTGTACTTGTAAACAAATTGAAGACATATCACTTGATAATTACAGACACATAACATGATAACTACAGACACATAACTATTAACTGCAGGTACAGAATATGCTAACTGCAGACACAACATGCTAACTAACATGCATCTTATGTGTCTGCATTTAATATATTCTGTACATGCAGTTAACAATTTATGTGTATGTAGTTATCATGTTATGTATCTGTAATTATCATGTTATGTATCTGTAATTATCATGTTATGTGCATTCAATTAGTTTACACGTACAGAAATTATTAACTGCAAGTACAGAATGTGTTAATTGTATACACATAATTTTTAGACTAAATTCACAATGTAATATAAACTCTGATCCATGGTATATCAATTAGAAGTCTCTATGTTGTTGGGAGCAATTTGATAGCATAACAATAACTAGTAGAGAACGGTTGTTGTTTAGCGGCAGTAATAACAATGACTAGGGTCTATCCTGATCCAAAATGATATTTAGATTATGTGATGTTAGTAATTTTTTTTTTGAATGTTAGTGACTCTATTACTAGGGGCGGAGGAGGATTTTATAGTGCGGGGGGCCAATTTCAGTTGAAGACTTAAAGTATTAAATCAAATATATTGATATCTAATTAACATATTTCAAAAATAATCATTACATTACAAATTCATTAAAGTTTAGAATTTTTTGAAGGTCATTAAAGTTTAGAATAAATCAATTATAATTGAATTTAGATTAAATTATTTTGTAATATGTTTTGTACGGTTGTAAGAATGAAAACGTTCTCGCATGTTTTAAAAGACTATTGATTATATCTTAAAAAATACCATCTTCATAACATAACATTGTTTTCCCAAATACATATACTACACAATTTTTACATTATTATTGTTAAATTAAATACAAAATTTATCACATAACCACAAATCTACATAATTAACCAAACAAATGCACCGTGATATCCATTATTTAGAATCAAACAAAACAACTATTTAAAATAAAAAATAGAATATACAACAAAAATTATCCAAACAAGTAGTTAGAAAAAAAAAAAAAAAACTTGAAATTATGCATAGATTTTAATAATAACAAATATCTTGTTATAGCGTATATGCCGCATATATGTCCAGAGAAAGAAACTAGTGGATAGGTTAAATGAGGTTTAATTTGAATGTGAATCAACAATATAGACAAGACATAATTTGAAATGGGAGAAAACTGGAAAAGTTGAGAAGATGAAAAAATTTATAACTTAGGTGTAAGATTAATTTAAGTGGGAGGGGGGGCCAAATATTTTGAAAGAACAATAAAATTTTAATATTCTATATAATAATAATTTTTTAAATTAATATTTTATATATATTAAAAAATTGGATTGGGGTGGGGTGGGGTGAGGGGGCCAAGGCCCCCCAAGGCACACACTTGCCTCCGCCACTGTCTATTACAGTGTAATATATGTTCATATTATGTGTTTATAGTTAGCAATTTAGCATATTATGTGTTTGAAGTTAACATATTATGTGCCTTCAATTCTTTTTACAATCACATAATTTATTAATTGAAAGCATATAATATGTTAATTGCAAACATATAATTTTTAAACTAAGATCTACAATGTAAGGCGAACTCTAGTACATGATATAACAATTTTGTTTAGGGTGTCAAGACCTTTATTTACAGTTATAAAGAATTGTATGGTTTACGCAATTTGTGTTAGGTCTGAATCAATTAATTAAAAATAAAAAAACAATTAATGCATCGATCTACTTCTTAATTAATATGTTTTCAGTCTCTTTATGGTGTCATTGTATTGGAACTATTTTGTAACTGATTTATGTCGCATCAGATAGTTAAATGAAAAATGCTAATTACTCTTTAATTTTATAATAACTCACAAAGCAGTCATATCATGATGTAAAATCATAGGCTTAGTTTTCCTTTTCAAAATTTAATTTTATTAGTCTTGGATTTTACCATTATATTGAGTGATTAGTTTGTGAGTGGTAAAATTGTAGGAGTGTAGAAGAAATGATTATAAAAAGTAAAATAAATGAAAAACAAATGTTTAATTTGACTGAACAATCAAAGAAATGAATATTAGAAGAAATAAACAATAAGCTAAGGTTCAAAAGTTGAAAAGAATTTAGTGTTGTAACTTGATGTTTCTTCGCATGGTTGATCTTCGGTGAAAGTTTTGTTGCACAATTCAAGATAAACAACAAGATGAGAAATAAAATTAAAACTGAAAGTTGATAGTACTCTTTTTTCAAAGTTGGATATCTGCAGGGACTTGGCGAACAAATATGCTAGATTGTCACTTGACCGAACCTTCTGAATAAGAATTTTACCACTCTTTTGGAGTTCATTGAAGGGATGTCAACGGGGCGGGGTGGGGGCGGGGGACGTTCCCCCATCCCCGCCCCCGACTTTTTTCTCATTCCCCGTCCCCGTCCCCATCCCCCGCCGGGGAATGAAAAACTCCCCCCATCCCCACGGGGATTATTCAGGGACGGGGAATCCCCACCCCATTAATAAGTTATAAAAAAAATTAAAAATTAAACATTCATAAACATTTAAATAAATAACGTATATATATTCATCCCCAATTTAAAATAGTATTCAATATTTTACAATTAAACATGTTATTTAAATTGCATTTGATATGCATGACAAACAATGACAAGAATACTTCTAAAATTATATATATTGTATACAAATTACAAAGTAATACATATGTGTGTGTACTCCCCATACATACATACATACATCGGGGACGGGGCGGGGCGGGGAGAGTACTCCCCATCCCCGTCCCCGTCCCCGACGGGGAATTAAAAATTGCCCCCATCCCCTATTTCTATCCCCATCCCCGTCCCCATAGAGGCGGGGAATCGGGTTCCCCGTCGGGTGCTGGTACAATTGACATCCCTAGTTCATTGGATAAAAGAACTTAGGTGCAATGTGCTTTGTAAGGTTTCCCTTAGTGTACCATTACTCATCTGTGCAACACATGTCGCGTTGTCCTCATACAGGATAATAGGAATATCATCTTTGCTCTCTATACTGCACGAGCTATTGATATGATGTATCAGCGACCTCAACCATACACAATCTCGATCGTGAAGCCTCATATAGGTCAATAATCTCTAAGTGATTAGAGAAGGTAATTAGGGTCTATTTAGCATATCTCCACGAAATAGTCGTATTTTCACAAATAAAAACATAACTAGTCTGAGATTTGACATTATAGAGATCAAACATATAGCCAGCATCTGACAAACTATGCATACATCACATGCTTAATATGCACACATGACTAATTATACATACAACATATACTCCATATGCACACACGAATTTTGAATTCTCCAAATTAATCTCATGCATAGATCTGTTCTTTTTGCAAACTAGCACCAATAACCTTAGCTTATGCACATGAGACACTACTAACAAAAAAGAAGCAGATCTCTTATCTAATACCCTACCAGCTACAATAAGTATTTAGATAATTGTTTTTAAAAAAGTACAAATTAAACATTAATTTTTATGCTATTTATAATGAACTTATCCTATATTATCTTGCATTGATATACTTTGAATTACTTATTTATATATAAGTATTGGATATCAAATCAGTCGCGTAATGTGTGTGTAAAACTAGTTTTACTATAAGTTTGAAGTACAAATTAAATTTAAAGCCTTTCACCATTTTTGAGACAAATGGAAAAGGTAAATAATGAGATGTATTCTCAATTGGCTTATTGGTTCCTACATACTTTGTCATTTTTACTCTTTGAGAGTAAAAAATGAAAATCTACATCTCTATTCAGTTCCTTTGCTTGTGTAAAATAATAGTGACCTTGTGTATATATATATATAGATAAATAATGCAGCGATTATACATACACATTGTTTGTTTGTGTGTGTCAGCTTCAACTTTTGTGTTAAGCGGAGGAGGAGGAGGAAGAAGAATAGAAGAATGACGGTGAAAGATCAGAAAGGCGGCGGCGGCGACCGGAAGATGTTTGTGGGTGTTGTGTGGAACTGCGCGGCGGAGTTGAAGCTTTTGCTCACTGCTCTCCTCTTCCTCTTTTGCATCATCACCGTTCTTCAGTTCATTCCTTCTCCGCTCTCTCTTTCCACCGCCGATCTCCGCAACTGCCTCTCCAAACCCGCCGCCGTGAAAACTAACTTACCGGTCTTGAATGCCGCCTCGCTTCCGACGCCTCTGCAGCGGGACAGAGCCCTGGGGAACGGCGCCGTCAAACGGGGTTTCACCGGCATTGGCTCCGCCGCCTACACCTTCATTCTCATGTCGGCGTACCGCGGCGGCTACAACACGTTTGCCGTAATGGGTTTAGCCTCAAAGCCTCTCCATGTTTTCGGAACTCCGAGTTACCGGTGTGAGTGGGTCCCGGCGGGTGAATCCGAAGATTCCGTTTTCACCCCCGGCCAGAGAATCCTCCCAGACTGGGGATACGGCCGCGTGTACACGGTGGTGGTGGTGAATTGCACATTCCCTGTTCCGGTCGGCGACGCCGACCACGGCGGCAAACTCCTAATCCACGCCGCCACCAACGGCGGAGGCGATTCCATCTTCAACATCACCGATACATTCGAGGCATTAATCGAATCCCCCGGAGATTTCGAAAATTTTAGCTCTGTGTTCAAATCTCCGCCCAAATACGACTACTTGTACTGTGGATCGCCCATCTACGGCGATTTGAGTCCACAGAGGATACGAGAATGGGTAGCCTACCATGTCCGATTATTCGGCGAGAAGTCACATTTCGTGATCTACGACGCCGGCGGTGCCCACCCGGCGGTAATGGAGGTTCTCCGGCCGTGGATGGAGAAGGGCTACGTCACATTACAAGACGTCAAGGAAGAAGAGCGATTCGACGGGTATTACCATAACCAATTCCTAATCGTAAACGATTGTCTTCACAGATACAAATTCCAGGCGAAATGGATGTTCTTCTTCGACGTCGACGAGTTCATCTTCATCCCCAAGAAAAACACGCTCAAATCCGTCGTGGATTCCCTCTCCCCTTTCACCCAGTTCACGATCGAGCAAATGCCGATGTCCAATAAGCTCTGCCTCAGGGAAGACGCCGGGAAAACTCACCGGAAATGGGGGTTCGAGAAGCTGGTGTTCAAGGACTCCAAGACCGGGATCCGGCGGGACCGGAAGTACGCGGTGCAGCCGAGGAATGTGGCCGCCACCGGGGTCCACATGTCGGAGAACGCCGCCGGGAACACCACCCACAAGACGGAGGGGCGCATCATGTATTACCATTACCACGGCACCATCGCCCAGCGCCGGGAGCCGTGCCGCCAGCTCGTCAACGACACGCGTCTCGCCGTTGACGGAATCTCCTACGTTGTGGACCCCACGATGCGTGACGTCGCCGGAGCCGTGAAAAGATTCGAACTCAAGACCATCGGACCCGTGCTACAAAGAACTCGCCAATAATAATAATTAAATTAAATAATGTTAATAATTAGTGCAGTAATTATAATTATTATCTCTATTTTTTTTCCTTCTTTAAAAAAAAAAAAACTATTTATTTCAGTTTCATGCACTCCAATTCCATTTACACCTTTCATTACTCGTATTTATTAGTGTATCACTTTTTTTTTTCGTTTATTTTTAAAATAAATAATATAATATAAGTGGGTATAGATTAATAGATACAGCAGCAGTCATGAGCTCACAGCCTTGTCTTCTTTTAATTATTATAATAAAAAATAATCTAGGATATTTTATGTATATTTTGTCATATTTAATAATTGTGCATATTATATTTCCTGTTTTTTTTTTAAATATAATTTTCATCATTTATTTATATATATATTTTGCTTGCTAGCTGGATTGATTTATGTTGTCGGTGACAATGGCTACCAACCCTCATCATTTCTTACCATTCCCCACAATAAAGACTAAAGTTTATTGGGTAAAAGAGGGGACACTTCATATTCTTTAATTTCTAGAAAATTTATTGTATATAATAAATTATAATTATTAAATGGTATCATGTATGCTATTTAGAATCAATTGTTATACAGTGAATCATGATTCGCACATCGCTATGTGAATTATGATCGTCGAATGAAATTGTATTAAAATTAAAATAATACTTTAATGTTATTATAATGAAACTAGTGTGTGAAAAATGAAATTAAAAGACAAAGTATATTATTATAAAATAAAATTGTAGTATAATTAAAATGATAATTTATCTGGCAGCTTTATAAGACTAGTCACTAGTACTCAAGAAATGCTGAATTATCTATTAGAGATTTCCTTTAAAAAAAAAATCTACTAGAGATTTTAAACTATCCAAAATTGGAAAATAATAAAGAAATTCCAAGTGTTGACCTCTCTGCACGCATATGTATTCATGATTAGTTGGAGCTTTAGACCCTCCAAAAAAGCTATAAATACTCTATAAATAAAAGAAAGAATAATATTTTTCTTTATTCTTCTTTTTTACTTTTTAATTTTACAAGTGTTTTTTTTTAATTGTAATTTTCTTTAATCGCTTTTTATTTTTAGAAAATTGTTGAATAGTTGAATGATTGAATATTCTTTGTGTAAGGTAGCCTGGTAGGTATATGGCTCATATACAACCGACAATATATGCAATGGCATCCATATTTTTAAAAGTTGTTTTGTTGTATATATTGTTAATGTTTACTGTCAATTAAGTAACTAAAAATTTACCTACAAAATGAAAAATGCAACAAAATTAAATATCCATAACTATTAGTATAGATCAATACAATAACTAGGGCTGTTAACGAACCGAACATAAACGAACGGAGGTTGTTCGTGTTCGTTTGTTAAGGAATTTGGAGTGTTCGTGTTCGTGTTCGTGTTCGTTTGTTAAGGTTTTTGAAAATCATGTTCGTGTTCGTTTGTTAAGTGTTCGTTAGTTTTTGTTAACGTCCGCGAACATGTTCACGAACGTGTTCGTTAACGTTAACGAACATGTTCGCGAACGTGTTTGTTAACGTTAACGAACATGTTCGCGAACGTGTTTGTTAACGTTCGTGAACACATTCGCAAACGTGTTCGTTAACGTTGACAAACACGTTCACAAACATGTTCATTAACAAGTACATTCACGAACATATTCAATTACGTTCATGAATATTAATAAACAAACATCTGCACATGTTCATGATCATAATTCGTTCATGAACAATAAATAATATACGTTCACGAACAATAATCAAACAAACAACACAACTACAAAACTAATATAATATAATATAATATAATATATGTTTGTGAACATGTTCGCGAACATTATTAAACGAACACAAACGAGTTTGTTCATGAACATTATTAAACGAGCTTGTTCACGAACATTAGTAAACGAACACAAACGAGCTTGTTCACGATCTCTTATACTAAAAAAAAAACTGTTTCACAATATACTCAAAATATATTATATAATGCCATCTAAAGAGATATTATTTTAGACGTTATATATATAGTATATTTTGTTATATATGTTATGACTTGGGTACGATAAAGTCTAATAGTTCAAGAATTTAATTACTATTAGAAAAGTTAATATCGCTATACTACCATCTAAACAAATTATAATTTTCTACTTATAGATCAGTTGGAGAAAGAGATCAAAATTACATATGGAAAATCCCCTATATATTCCCTATATATTCTTAATTAACAATTTTTTTTTACCACTAAAAGAATTGAAGTCCAGAAACATTTGATAGCAATGATGGACATGGTTGTTGAAAATTTTCAATAACTATGTTTTTTTTTTTTTTTTTTGTTAACTTTCAATTATTGGTGGTTAGATATTTGAGAACGAACATCTTAGGTACATATCTATCTAAATTTTTTAACTATCTTTATTGGTGCAAACGGTTACAAGTCACTTTTGATCGTTGGCCTAAAATATCAATAATTTTTTAATCTTCAAAGTTATTAAAAATATGATTTCCAGTTACAAATCTTAAACTTTCAAATTTCAATCATTTTCAATAATGTTTAAAAATATAACTTTTTTTTTTCATAGGAAAGGAAATACCCGATAAGTACAGAGAGTACATTTAGGAAGCATTTACAAGACGCCAATGAGGCAAACCGACGCAATCATCATCTAGAATGCCTAGAATCTCATCTGGTGGTGACGAAAAATCATGCAAACCTTTGGGATAACTTCTGGACGATCGTACCATGAAGCCTGTTGATGAAGCTCGTAATCTACATGGCATTTGTTTCAAACACCACTTTTTTGAAACCCATATAGACAGCAAGTTGGATACCTTTTAGTAAGGACAAAAGTGATTGTAGTTTAGTGGTAAGAATTTCACGTTGTGGCTGTGGAAACTTGGGCTTGAATCCTAGCAACCACATTAAAATATTTAACTTTTCTTATAGTAAAATTCTTTAGTTAAATCATTTATACTAATATTTTGCATTACATATTATTGTGACATTACACTATCATCATCATCATTATTATTACTTCGTATGTCTCATTTTATCTGTCATACTTATTATTCATTAATCAAATCAACTCTTTCTTCTTTGCTTATTTCTATTAACATTTTTTTTTTATAATTTTTAAATTGAATTTTATGCGTTTAATACACTTTTATTGTAGTTTTAAATATATAAATTTTACACGTACATTATCTTTATACTTCATATTATGAAAAATTAAATTGTAATTAATTTCAGTCGAGCATCATTAATCGAACTCGACATATAAATTGGACGAAAGGAATATTATTATTATTATTATTATTATTATTATTATTATTATGCATGCGTATTAAACCAACGGGTGGCAAGATTTGTCGGTATGAAGACGAAAGCGACTATTGATATAATGATATGGCTGCAAGTCGGAAATTAAGATGACGCGTGTCGACTGTCGACATAGACGGATGGACACCTTATTTTTTAATTCTCAACCTTAGATTATTGTTTTGGGTGACAAAGAGAATACAGTCATTACTATATGAAGTGTATTAAGTAAATCTCATTTTTATTTATATAATAAGAGAAAATTTTAATTTTGGTCACACGATTATAGGAGTTTTGTTAATTTCAGCACTTAACTTATAAAAGTGTCGATTTAGTATTTTGAGTATGTAATTTTTGTCAATTTTGATCACTCTGGCCAAATTGTCGGTCAAATTTGACCGAAAAAATTTAATCCAACATTTAGTCTAAAATCTTGCGGACAAAATGGTCTTTTCTATCATTTCTCCTAATTAGTGTTGACCGAGGGACGTGTCGGTAACTGAGGGAAACCGAAATTACATCTACGCCGTCGGTGATTGCCTGGCCATGCCAGTGATGAGGTTGGAAGTAACGTTTCCTTCATCCCAGTTGACCTTGTACACCGCCACACGAGTGCGCAGCCACTCCTTTCGCCGTCCCCGGCGCATAGACGAAGTAGGAAACACTGTCAACGAAAAATTGAAATATGTTCCTTCTTTGCAACATAATGTTGTTGCTGGGAATCGAACCTGAATTTTTTTTTTTTAAGAAGAGACGCGCGTTTTTAATAAAACGACTTCATTTTTGCATCAGTATGCACCATGCATGGTGCATACGGATGCACGGCATAATTTGCCCCTTTGAGAGAGCTTAAACTCTTCAATTTCTTGATATTCCCCTTAAAAGCCCAAACTTAGTAGGAACAATCGTTATGATTGCCATGGAACCGTGTTCACCATTCATGGTGCACACGGTCCCAACGGTGTTAGTGTACCGTTATTTTTTTTTTTTTCCCTTAATTAATCGCGTGACTTTTCTTCTTTATTTTTACATTTCGCAGTTTCACTTTAATTTGAGGTGAGCAATGATTTCGGACATTCATAAATTATGAATCCATGCTTGCACATTCACTTTGGAACCATGCCTACACATTCCCGTCCGAAACCATGACTACTCCTCTGTAGCGCAAGCTTCTTCAACATTCATAAATTATGAATTTTCTGTTATGAGATTATGAATTTTCAGTAAATTCATAATCTCATAACAGAAAATTCATAATCTGACTAAACACGCGCCGTTAACACCACATTCGCGATTTTTACCTAGTAGGAATCTCCACAAAGTTAAAAACATTAAAAAATTGTTTATTTTCTATCATTAATTTTTTAATTTTCATCCTTATATCTCGAGTTAACTTCGACTTCAGCCATTTGACTATTACTCATTTTCAATTCTAATCATTGACTTTTAAAGTTATTAAATTTAGTCATTGAGTATTGAACCATTTTCAATTGTAATCCAATGTAAGCTTTTCCCTATGTGAATATTAAAATTGAAGCTGAAATTATGATTGTTAGCATCAGAAAATTAAGGCTTTGTTTCTTGCATGTAAGAAAAACTGGTGCAATGGTAATAACTTTCTAATTTTACTCTCAATTTTAACAGTTTACAAAAAAAAAAAAAAAAAAAAAAAAAAAAAAAAAAAAAACCTATAGTGAATTACAATTGAAAATGATTCAATACTTAATGACTAAATCTGATAGCTTTACACATTAGGGGCTAAAATTAAAAATGACGTCAGATGAATAAGTCTGAAATTAACTCTTATTTTTATATATATCTCCTAAAGTTATTATTTTTATCTTTGCAATTCTTTCACACTTTCAGAAGTAGATCCTACCACTATATCAACATATTTGCAATTCAGTATAAATTTGTCTACATCTTATACTTTTACCTCACTTTCAAAATAATAATAATAATAATAATATTCAAATTTATTATTAAAAAGAAAAGAAATACGTATTGATATTTTGATAATTTCCTGCACCAAGTTTATTTATGTGGTCATTAAGTGCTGGTATGTAGTGCACTTAGCAGTGATCTGTGATCAAAGTGCTAATATGTGAAAGTACGATATGTAAACCATCAAGCATATCTAAGTGAACCACCCCTGCTACACTTAGGAGTGATATAATGTGCTTGAGTGGTCTATGATGCACTGATGAGTAATCTATAGTGCACTTATGAGTGTCTTGTGGTACACATGGGAATAAATGTACCACTAAGCAGCCGTGCACTCTCATCCCTTAAGAGAGGTGGAGAGGTGTCTCTTAAAGTTAGGACCTGCCCAAGACACCTCATGGTGTGACCAAAAAATGCACCACCAAGCATATATAAATGCACCAAGTTTTTTTTTAGCACAAAGAGTTACTCCACTGCGGTTCAAACCCACAACCTCCCATATGAAATAACAAATTGGTACCACTAGACTACAAGGTCATTGGCGGCTCGAGTACATTTTAATTAAAAAACTTTTATTTTAGTTGATTTTACAATTATATAGTAAAATTTCAATTAAGACAAAATACAGTACTATCTAATCTTTCATTTCGGTGTTTCTAATTAAAAATTCAACTAGGGACGGACAAACACTATCCAAATTCAGCCCTAAAACCCGTTTCCCAACAAATCTAATACTCCGTATAATGCAATCATAATTTGCAAAGAGGTGAGATGGAACTGATTCCCGGGCACAAAGCCCGGCAGTTTTCGTGGGTGGCTTCATAGATAGATTGGTAAGCCTCCCCCAGGTTTCACCAACTCTCCCTCTGCTTCTCAATTCTAAATTGTCGGTTATATTGTTTATTTGTATAAAATATATAGAAATATTATAAAATGTCATGTTGTACCTGATACAAACACGCTAATGTAACAAATTGTATTCGATACTGTCAATGTTAATACTCACCACACCTGCGTAATTGTATCAACTACAACACTGACACAGCGCATCAGAAAAGTTTTCATAATTTATGCCCCTGGTGTAAATGTTGCTCCTCAATTTTCAAAACGTGACATATATTGCCCCTCTCCTAATAGGAAGAAGAAGAAGCATTGTTGGCAGAAGGAGAACAAATGAAGAAAGAAAAATGGAAGAAAAAAATGTGATCTTTGAACATAAAAAACAGAAAGTAACCACATTTACCCCACTAATAATTCAGGAGAGGGACAACATATGTCATGTTTTGAAAATTGAGGAGTAACATTTATATCACTAATAATTCAAGTGTGACATTGATAATTGACATATTTGTGAATGACATAAATTACAATTTTCCCTTTTCACATATGTATGTTGGAACAAATCCCTTCATAATTAGAAATGTGAGTAATAATATATGTAAAATATAAGAAGAGGCACATGAAAGCATGTGGCAAAGAATGATGTACATACAACCACAAATTATGTCTGTGGGGTAGACCATTCAGCAGGAAACAAGGAATACAACATGTCATTAATAATGCAGTTCAATAATTACAGTGAGTTTACTGTAAAATGGGTAAGTTTACTTTGAAACCAGATTCCTACTCAACAAGTATGGTACAAATTCACAATCTATGCTCATCACCTTGGGATTCTATTAATTGTAGGAAAGCAGTTCATCACAGTCAAGCCACTGGCATACTGTAAATCTATGAAAGAAGCTTGGTTGCCCATAAAACAGCTCAAACAAAAGACAAGTTTCATGTTCCCAGTCTATAAGTCACAATATCCTCGGGTATTTCATGTTTGTTTTCCTTTCCATCAAGGAACCACAGAAACAAGTTATACAATGCCAAAATGTATACAAACTCGAGTTATAAAGTGTTATTCATTACGTATCAAGAATTTCACTCACAATAGATCATGCAATGTACAAACTCGAGTGTAACTTACCTCCTCCCATGGTTTAACACGGACTACTATATATCTGAGACGGAGGATGATATGTGGGCAGTGACAATGTGATACTGGTGAACATTTACTGCAATGAATTGTAAAATAAAATCAACACTACCGAGATTCCAATTATTACTGGAAATGCAGTGACCAAATATAGAGCTCCATATCCCTGCATCAGAATATCATTTTGTCAAATCCACAGCCACAAAGAATTGTATTATAAGTGCATTCGGCACATGAATTTATTTCACCTAGAACACAAAATAGGGGGGGGGGGGGGGGGGGGGGGGTGGGAGAGGAAAATGAAAAAGAACTGGACTTGTCCAACAAATGAAAATAAAACCACTGGACTTGTCCAACAAATGAAAATAAAACCAGGATTTAAGCAAGAATGATTGTTCAATTTCAGGCAAAGATGTTACCAATGAGGATAAATATAAAATAATAGATCTGTATATTTGCTAGCATACTAACAGCTTAAGCTTAAGCTTTTAGTAGAGGTGAAACACGTCAATAGTTATAGTGTTTCCCAGCATTTTCAAAAATGGAACGTAAATTAACAGAAGCACTATCGAAAAAATAAATTGAAATCTTTTATAAGCTACAGATCAGAGGGATTTGCTGGACTAACAACAGCTGGAGGCACTTCCGTGTCATTGCCCTCATCATCTTCCCCTATCTCCGCTGCTGAATCCCAATCAATTTTGAGCCTCTTAGCAGCTGCTTTTAGATCAACACCAGTGTCTGTGGTTCTTGCATACAGGGATTTGCTAGGCGTCTGTTTCTTTGGGGCTTCAGTCTAATGGAAAAGCATGAATAATGTAAGCAAATGTGCACACAAGCTTGAGTATAAATCATCTACATATTGATACAACACTCCAGAATAAGGGGAATATTTTCTGAAGATCTATTTTATATTTATGCATTTAGTTTTAGAAGGAAATGCAAATGCATCCATCCTCTCTTAGGAATAACATTTTAGCTCCACCTCACCATCAGAACAGAGCTAACCCAAAAGACACTTACACGTAAGAAATAATAAATGATGATTCCATATGCTTTAAAGTCACAGAAATACCTCCAAATTAGGCCATGAACTCAATTCTTCTGCCAGCATCTGAAGAGCAAGACGATCTTCAGGAATCTTGCCTTCATTTATCTTCAAAAATGGCAAAAAAATCTATTCAAATCATCAAGAAATACATGCATTGACAATGTGCAAACACACTCTTGTATTCTAGTGTGTGTATTAACACAGAGTTTGTGGTGTACAATGTTACTTCAAATAACACCAAGCACACAATCAAAAACTTTTGCAGAAGCAATTCATTGTGAACTTTTAACAACTTAATGAAACTACAAAAATCTATATATATGTTCTAACGGAATTGCATTGAAAACCACAATTATTCACCTTAAAAATAAAAATATGGTGTCTCTTGCAAATAATTTAAACAAAATTATTGAAAACTATTGCAATCTAGTTCCCCAGGGAACAGCTATTAGTACAAGCTTTCAAACTTTTTAGCTTAATCAACAGCAAAACTTCATAGATATTGACCTTTGCTTTAAAATTTATTTTCCCCTTGTGCTTGAATAAAAGTTTATTTCTCACATAAGGAAATAATGTTATCCGTTTTGAGTTCAATAGATGATCCTGTAGGCATAAATATTTTGTGAAGGCATAGTGGTATTGCACAAGGAGATCAAAATTCAATTCCAAAGTAACTACTTCCATATGTACAGAACAGTCACCTCATTGAAGAACATATATCCCAGTATTTGGAATGAGGCCGAACCCTTATTTGTCTTTAAAGAACATGCATCTCAATCGTTTTGAATTTTATTCCTTTCTACTCTTCTTTTAAGGCTATTTATATGCTCAACACACAATTCCTTTTAAATTGAACATATTTTTGCTTTGAATTTAAAAATTAATCACAATCACAAATTCAAAATCTAAACATCACAATTTTGATGGCAAATTATTTTTAAGTTCGAAAAACATAGAATATCACCAGCTTTCATAAAATAATAATAATAACAACAATAATTCAAATATTGAAATATCCATTCTCTGTTTGAATATAATCCAAACAAATAACAATGAATAACTCAAAGAGGCTCAAATGTCCTTTGCACTCAATTATATTATTAATATTTGTATAAAAAACCAATGTGGGCCCTAAAGAAAATATCTTGTTTTAGCTGTGCAATAAATAAATTGCGTGGTAGCTATTATAAGTGTTGTTTAACTGAAATACTAATAGAGACTCGAGGTGTGTGTGTGTAACTGTGTATTAAGAATGGAATATATTTGACTAGTAAGAATACACTGTTAATTAAGACTGACAATTTTGTTACACTAAAACAGCAATACCCTAATTTTGGTGGAGCCAATAATGAACTGCTTTAATCAGTGTGTAATATATTATATAATATTGTGATATTTGCATATAATGATGGAGAATAAGGATGGGCTCTTAACCTTTAAAGGTTAGACACAGGCCTCTCAGACAATATCCATCGCGTCTAAAGATTCAAACATATTCTGGAACTATTATGCATAGTTATTTATGTCTCATCATCCATTCATCCACTAACTAGCACTTTACGCTAAATGTATCTTCATATTTTAATATTGTATTATTTCATTTGCTAAAGAGAAAATCATCACTCGGTCAGGACATAATATTTCATCTGGTACTTGTTCTAGACGTGCTAATTGATCCATATTTAACAATTAACTGGATACTCAATAAGTTTCTATAAACTAAGATCACATTTCTGATCTGGGCTATGCTTGCAAAACCCAATTGTTAATTTCCAGGAAACATATGCAGCTTCAAAATGCTCCATATGACTATTAGTATGCTTAGCAGGAAAACAGGAGTATACTTACTTCTTCAAGAGCAGCAGCCAAGTCCTCTCTGGTTGGAGCATTCTCATCATCAATGCCAAGCAGCCGTTTCCGCTCTACATCCCTGGGGTCTTCAATCATTATAGTCAATTTAACCTGCAATTAACCAAAGAAACAATAATGCAACTCAGTTAGGCAGTTCAGCAAGAAAAAGATGAGGGGTTTCCAGCTCTTTTTAAAATTTTAAAATCCTTGTTAAAAATCAGTAATGTTAGAAACAAAGCTATCAGAGTTTGAAGCAACCCAACTCAGGACTGGCATTAGAACTCAAATTGCAGTGACTGGCCAAATTTAAGTATAAGACAATTTGGCAGGTGATTAAGTTTAACAATTGCACAGTCAAGTATATACAGAACCTAAATCATTTTATTGCGAAATAGTAAATAGGAACAGAAAGAGAAAGACAGAGATAATTGACACACCTCACCAAACACCATATCCCTATTCTTCCTGAGCAGCTCCAAAACCTAAAACCAGAAAACAATTAAATGCTCCAGAAAGCTTCAGAGATTGCTAACAACAATAATAAGTCATAAACAGAAAGAGAATGAAGGAGATTAATGCGGTCAAGTACTCTTTTGACTTGGGAGACGTATTCAAGGGCTTGGGGATCCGAGACCTCCACATCTTCATCGTACGCTCCTTTCTCTTGGGTGGCAGTGGCGGATGAGGTAGAAGTGCTGGCTTCCTCCTCGTTGCTGGCATAAACGGGTGCTAAAGTGCGCCTGCTTCTCCTCCTCCTGCTACCGTGGTTTGATAAGCTCAGAGGATTGAAGGACAAGGAGAGGTTGCGGAAAGAGCAGTTGATGGAGTAGCGTGAGGTAGATGATGATAAGGTCACGACATGGGGGAGTGGAAGCTGGAGGAGATGAGAAGCCATGGCCGACTACAAAAGCATCGCTTTGGTGTTTGTAGAAATTACTGAGAGAGTGAGAAGAAGAAAGGAGATGAAAGAAATCTAGAAAGCGAGACTGAGAGTAGGAGTGAGTGGTGAAGCTTGGGGCAGGTGTCAGAGACCAGAATTTCACCTTGGATATGGCGCCACGTCACCCAAAGTGCATAGATTACTCCCATTTTTTACTCCTACGTGGCTTTGTTACGATTGTTGCATTAAAAAACAAAATAACAATTTTCATTCTTCTTCTAAATAAGCCTAATTTCTAATTTAGACGGATTATATCCTAGAGCACATAAACTCATCTTCAAGTCCATGACAATGTAAATCAAATCAAGAGATCAAGAGGTGGAGTGTTATGCCTCTAAAGTTGTGAAATGGTTTAGAGCATCCATATCAACTCTTGATTTTTACAGTTTTTGAAGTGTTATTAGAAAAGAGAGATAAGGACAAGAAAAAAAAAAAAAAAAAAGGCTACCATCAAATTTAAAAAAAAAATTGAAAAAAAAAAAATCACTCCTTGCGCTCCACACACTAAATCCCACTATTGTTTTCCCTTTTCTCTCACATAGCGGGTTCCAAAAAAAAATATAATTTGCCAAAAAAAAACTCCCCCAAAAAACCATCTTTCCATTTGTAAAATTTTTCCTTGATTTTTTCCTCACCAAAAACGGCAAAAATACATTGGTGTAGATGCTCTTACACAGCAGCATTGGAGCAATGTGATTTCGGGCCCTATTGCCAATATCATTAAGGAATGTAGAGACTGGATGGGAAAACAATAGGAGGTCACTGTGAAGCATTTTTCAAAGAACAAAACCGGGCAGCGGATTATATGGCCACGCAAGCCTATATGCATAATCGTGGGAGGACCATTTGGTATCAACCTCCAAATGGGGTGAATGAGATTATTGTTGAGGATTTTCTTAGGATCCCGGCTGCTCGAAGAGTGACAAATTAAGTCTAGTGGGGTTGCCCCCTACCGATAAAAAAAAAAATGTAAATCAAATCAATCTAAATTTAAAACTTAACACCAAACTATACACTTATCTACACTAGAACTCTATCTCAAACCTAAACCACCATATTCGTGGCAAGGATTAAACCCCATCCAACCCACATTTTTCACTATTTACAATAGAGTCAAAATACATTATGTGATTATCATGTGGAGTATATAATTCTCGTATTCTTGTCAATGCTTTCTCAAATTAGCATGTCGTACAAGGTATTCTTAGTACAATTTACTTATTCTATATTTGTGCATCTCTTAAATAGTCAACAAATTATATTGAATTTCCTAGTAATTCTATTTCTGTCAACCAAACGATGAAATTTGAATTTTTACTTTATTCACACTTTATTCCTTTGCCACGAAATTACATTTCGTTTCCCGCATAATTTCTTCTTCGCAACCAAACGACTTGTTACTATGTTAGTTTATTAAAAATGTACCTTATGTCATTGGTCCATGGTGCATAGTATAATGATTGCAAATAGTTATAGTTGGTTTCTCTCATTAAAAAAATAAAAATAAATATAAAATCCTAACTAGACTTATGAAATTTTTGCTTTTGAAAGTGTAATCACTAATTTATTACTCCATCTACCTCATTTTACCTGTAATGTTTACTATTTATTGGTTAAATCAATTTTTTATTCTTTACTTAGCTTATTTTGTTTTGTATTTAAAAAAAAATTAAATTTTATTTTTTGTGCTTAATAATACTTGTAATGTAATTTCTAAATATATAAATTTCATATACTAATACTAAACTTTTTTTGAAAGTTACTAATACTAAACTTAAAATTATGATATTTGAATTAAAAATAAATTTAGTCAAGCCTCGTTAACTGAATCAAATACATAAAATGAGATAGAAGGACTATTTTGCATATTCATACAAGAACATGAACCAATTATTATTGTGTGGACCATATTTTTTATACTGCAAAATAATGTATATTTAGTACACAAATAATGTACTTTTAGTATATTAAAAATATACTTTGTATTCAGGAAAAGTACATTATTTGAATACTAAAGTACATTATTTTATATAATGTACATTCAGTACACAAATCATGTACTTTTAGTACATTAAAAATGTACTTTCTATTATTGTCCATACAACACTACGTGGACCATGGTTCATGCAATAATTTGCCAACGTGAACAGTTTGGGCTTTCTATACCGAATGCATGGCCCAATTAGTCTTGACATAGGCTTATCCTTCACATTCATTTCCAGCCGAAAATTATATTGTGCTTCTCCAAGCCTCCAAAACAGGGTAAATTATATCATGCACCGCGCGTTTTTTTTTTAAATGAAAATAAACACTGTCTATTTTCCGCCGTTTCGCACCCTTTTGCAAACAGTAACCCTGTTCTTCAGTGTCATTTTGTATACACTGCAATGTCAGTTCAATACAACTACAGTTTCATTTCGATATAACTATAGTTCCATTCGATATTTATAGAATCAAATATGTAAAAATGTTATTTAATTTTATTTTATATACACTATAGTTTCATTAAAACACAACTACATGATCATTTTGATATAATTACAACTTCATTGTACAATATACACTCAAATATGTGAAATGTTATTCAGTTTCATTTTATATACACTGCAGTTTCATTTCACTATAACTACAGTATCATTTTGATATAACTGCAGTATCGATTTAGATATACTGTAGTGTCAGTTGGTGCTTAATACACCAAACAAGCGGACTCCGTTAACTATAACGGCGGGTCGTTTCTTTACTTAAAGAAACGACGCCGTTTTCGACCGCGGTGCACATGCACCGCGGTCTATGATATAACAACTGCCAAAACAGTGCCATAGTGCATCACTTATACCATGGGCCTAGGTCCAGAATAAGGTGGACCTGGGTCCAAAAAATACACAATTTACATATTGAATATTTACAATTTACATACTGAATGTTCACAATTTGAATCGTGAACATTTAGTATGTAAATTATGAATATTCAGTATGTAAATTGTGTATTTTTGAACTTAAATTCACCTTATAATGTGAACCCGAGTCCACATAATAATTTATCGGCCAGGAGCGTTATATTGTGCAACCGTGTGCACCATGCAAGTAATTTTTAATGCACGAAATTATGGATCTATACTATAAATTCATAATTTCTAGTGTAGATTCATAATTTTTAAACTGTAGATTCATAATTTCTATATTATAAATTCATAATTTTTATACTATAGATTCATAATTTCTAAACTATATAGTTATCAAATTATGGACATATAGTTCAGTGATTTGTGAATACAGAGTTCAATAATTAGAAATATGAACATTGAAAATTATGAACATAGAGTTTTGTAATTGTGAATATAGAGTTCAATAATTATGAATCTATAGTATAGAAATTATGGATCCAATTCAGTGTTGCACAGCATAATTTGCTGAAGGTAGCGGTAGCTGGTAGTCTCATAGAACATGGCATACCCAACCCCCCAAACACCTCACCAACTGGGGCGCCTTATAGTCGATTTCCTAAATATAATGTATATTTTTATATATTAAAATTATATTATTTGTGTGTTGAATGTACATTATTTAATAACATGTTCCACACAATAATGATTGTGTGAACCCCTTTTGGGCCACAAGGCCCCATCAATAACACTTATTTAAGATTATTACTAGGTGCTCGCACGGGCTTAGCTCAATGGTTCGATCAGTGGACAATATTTGGGAGAAGAGATCAAGATTTGAACCTCGACGTCGATAGTGTGGGAATTATGTCCAAAGTGGGCAGATTCCTTGTGCGCACCGATATTTGACCCTGTCCGCTGAACCATCGAGTCACCGTGATTTACATCCTCCTAAATACTCTGTCGGGGTCGGGTTGGGGATTCAACCTTTTGGGGAGAAGATTATTACTAGGTATGGAGTATTTTTTTTCACTCGCAATGTTTGAGTCCAATATTGTCTGTTAAAATTATTGAAGAAAAATAAAAATGTTTATTAATAATATTTTTAAAATTACTTTTAACCCATTAAATTTATACATGTGAAAATCTTATATTTTGAAGAAAAAAATAGATACAATTTGGGTAAATATCATAAATTATTTTTTTTTTTCATTCGTATTGGGAAAACAAAGTAATTCAAATATATGTGAGCCAATAACTTTGGGATAAGATTAATGTATAATGACACTAATAAATATGAGATGATTAATTATATTGTCATAATATTTACTATAATTAGTTTAAATTTTCTTAATAAAATGACCAATAAATGTTCTTTAATTAGTTTTAATAGGAGACTACCGGGCCGGCCAAGCACCTTGTGCACAGATGGCATCCGGGTTGGACTCGCATATGGGAGGTTGTGAGTTTGAGCCTCAGTAGAGACGTTATTGGCTCTTTGTGTTTAGATATTACAATGTAATAGAGTCAGTAGCATTAAAAAAAAAAAAAAAGGAGACTAACGTGCCGGGTTAGTTATAACAAAATGAAGATAATTTTGTCTAACTAAAATATAATATACAACATTATAAAGCTAATGTGCAAATCTATTAGCACTAAAAATATAAACAAAAACTAGAGATATAATATAAATTCACTCATTATTCACACATACAATATTTTTAGATATTGTGCATTAGGATAATTATTAAATTAGGTGAAGTGATACGTGAGATTTACTTCAAATACCCAAATATTATTGTTCCTGACAGGTTGAATCTCCAATCCCAAGAGTCCCACGCTCCGGTCCAACAGAGCATTTGAGAATATGTAAATCATGGTAACTTATCTGAATACAAAGACTAGACATTTGCTTATTGCGCACAAGGAGCCCTCCTCACCTTGAGAGGTTGTTCCCACACTATCACTGGTGAGACTCAACCCCGGGTCATTGTTCCCAAACTTCACCTCTATGATTAACTGAGCTGCCTATGCAGACAAATACCCAAATATGATGAGTGGTGGTTTGGAGTTGATTTTTAAAAGCAAACAATTGGTTATCTTTTAAGTTTTCATGTGAAAATGATTGTCTGTTTTAATTTCATTTCTTTATGTTGGTCCTATAGACCTCTCTTTCATTCCTTT